TGGCAAACAGCAGCAGTCAACATCTGAAGCTGCAGTATGACACACACGTGTATAAACACAGACAGATATTTCAGTTTGACCCTCAGTTCTCTGTTCATCTAAGAAACGTCTTTAGATTAGAGACAAAGATTTATTTCTTTCATGTTTAGATGTTTCCCCTCAAACTTCACTGCACAGTCACTGTTCTTAGTCACATCTCTATCTCTGTACAAATATACATGAGCTGCTGCTTGGACAGATTTTATGTCCACCTTTGTACTAGCAGTCAATCACAGCTGACGACCGAATCGCGGAATAGTTTCATCGGCTAAAGCGTCGTAAGCAGCGAGCCTCCTGATTATTAGCCCGACTTTTGTTGCATGTCAGTCTTTGGTTCATCTTACCCACATTTTCTGCCTATTTGAGCTTTTGCTATCTTTTAAATAGTTTTATATGTAACAGCCCTCTTATAAAATGCATCTATTCCCAGCTTTTAGGGCTTTAATATGTGTACCTCCTTCTTGTATGACTTTAGAATTAAAAAGAAGGTGATATATACATTATGTCATTAAAAGCTCCTTAGCTATATATAGTAGCCCTAATCTGGCCTCCTGGTACTGTGCTAACTTAATGGTGAAAATGATGTAACCCTCACAGAGAGAAAGTCTAATGGATTGAATGTAGACTGTTAATGAGCAGAAGATTGACATGCACTCAGGTCTGACCAACTTGGTATGTGGCAAAACCACTTAACTCTAGAATTTGTATAGCAAATCATGAAAACAAGAAATTGCGCTCTTAAATCAAAGGACCTAACTCTTTGAATACCCACCAAGAAAACTACTAAAATACAGTGCGTGCCCAAATATATTCATAGCAGTGAATAGAGAAAAACATCTGAAATGACCACCAATAAAGATCAATGTGGACAATTTTATAGTAATTATTAATATTTGGAGATCACAATTATTCATTAATTTTAGTGAAAAAACATTTATATTGCACTTTGATGTAAATATAACACTGCATTCCTGCTATTGTATACATGTTTGCATCAAAATAAAATTGTTCCTTCTTATTCACATACAATCATCTCTTTGAAGAAAAATCTAAATTAAAGCAATGCCATGATTTTACACTTTTCATACCCAGAGAACAGACAGCGGCCACAATTGAAGATGTCTTGTAAAGATTTATTTACAAGTGTGATAAGAGCAGCGATAGACTGTGGAAGAATGGACTACTGATTTTGAGAGTTGCAGCAACTGAAAAGGTTTGAAAAGGCTGAGGCATTACTGGAAAGTGCAGAGAAGCTGAGCTCGGGAGCAGGTTGGAGGCCCGGGGTGAGCAGCTGGGTATCA